CTGTGATAAAAACAGCATGGTACTGGCAAGGAAACAGACCAGAGGATCAGTGGAAGAGATTGGAAGACACAAAAACATACCCAGATGTACTCAGCTACCTCATTCTTAACAAAGGAGCTGACCGTCCTCAGTGGAGGAAACATAGCCTCTTCAATAAATGGTATTGGAATAGCTGGATTTCAACCTGCCACAGATTAAAACTGGACCCTTATCTTCACCATGCACTAAATTAAAATCCAAGTAGAGTAAAGATCTAAATATTAAAACAGAAACACTAAACTTGCTGGAATATAAGTCAGGCAGAACTCTGGAAGACATTGGCATAGGAAAAGACTTTATGAACAAATCTTCAGAAGCATGAGAACTAGCAGATAGAATCAATAAGTGGGATCTCATCTTATTAAAAAGCTTCTTCACTGCAAAAGAAAGCATCAACAGAACTAAGAGACAACCTACAATGTGGGAAAAAAATTTTACCAGCTGTTCCTCAGACAAACAACTATTATCTAGAATATATAAAAAACTCAAAACAATCAGCCCCACAAACATAAAGACCCAATTCAAAAATGGGCATCTGAAATGAACAGACACTTCTCAGACAAAGAAATAAAAGCAGCAAATAAATATATGAAAAAATGTTACACATCACTGGTCATTTGAGAGATGCAGGTGAAAACAACACTGAGATTCCACCAAACCCCACAAAGAATGGCTGCTATCAAGAAATCAACCAATAACAAATGTTGGCAGGGTTGTGGGAAGAAAGGAACCCTTCTCCATTGTTGTTGGGAGTGCAGACTGGTGCAACCACTATGGAAACCAATATGGAGATACCTCAAAGAGCTGGGACTAGAGGTTCTATGTGACCCAGCTATCCCTCTGCTGGGTATCTTTCCAAAAGAGCTAAAAGAATCATACCACAGCAATATATGCACACCTATGTTTATAGCAGCACAGTTCATAATAGCTAAAACTTGGAAACAGCCCATTTGCCCATCAGTTGGAAAATGGATAAAGATGTGGTTTCTGAATAAAATGGAATATTGCTAGGCATAAAGATTGAGAAATTATATTCATTCATTGGAAAATGGATACATATTGAGGATATGCTCCTAAGTGAAATAAATAAGTCACACATGTGTAAATACCGAATAGTTTCTCTGGTGTGAATAAACTGCAATAATACATAAGATCCTAATAAGATTACTGACATGGTGAAATGGGAAGGAAAGAGCTAAAGTTGTAGGAAAAGTGGGAAGGGTAGGGGAAGTGTAATAATGGAAAAGGAAAAAATGTGAGAAAATGAAAAGATGGAAATAAAGTGCTTGTAAATGGGGAGTGGAGGACAGGGTGAAGGGAGGGCAGAGATAAGGGGAAAAAATGAGAACCAAGACTTGTCATGTAGAGGTACAAGATCCCAACAATGAATGTAACTGTACTGTATACCTAAAATGTACCAATAAACTCAATTAAAAATAAAATAAAATATGCATTCCTGGCAAAAAATAAAAGAAAAAGGCACAGTACTAACTCCTAATGAAAAAAAATAATAATAAATATTCATTAGTGTGGCTAGTGAAATTTCAACTTACCTATCCCTTCACAAATTTCCCTTTCCTTCTAAGAGTGAATGCCTGGTATCTCCTTTCAGTAATAGTCTACCCTATAATGTAATAGTAATCAACAGGCTACTTTGGAATTGCAACTCTCTAAAATGATACAAAACCCTTACTCCTGTTTATGAATTTAGAATTTATTTATATTATTGCAATTTTATCATTTTGTTATTAAATATTTTCACTTTCTCCTGTAAATCAAAAAACACTGATTCCCTCTGTGACAAGAAATGGCAGAGTGATACTGTAGTTCTCTTTCTTATCTAAACATCTAGATTGTGCTTCATTGTTTCAGTTAGTATATGCTATTCCCTGGTATGAGACATATACACTAAACATAAGCTATATCTTAAAGATGTTTAATTGGAAATAGATGCTCTATTGAAGGAAATATGCACACCAGTGTTCTCCATTCAATATTATTAACTCCCCTTTCCTGGGGGCAGAAGACACTCACTTTTAACAGTTATGCTTAATGTTTATTTCATAAACAACTGCATTTATTATGTCCAACTTTTTGAGTTTGAGAAAATATTGGTTCTCTTCACTATTCCTTTTTTCATTCAACATCCAATGTATCCAGTGGTGTGATGGTTTCTGAGAATCCAATGATGAGTAAACATTATTGTTGATCATCAAAATCTTATGTTCCAACAAGACAGAGCAAGTATTAAAAATATAAACTTACAATGTTCAATATAAAGAGCTGTGAGAGAAGTCAAAAGGGACAACTTACACAGGAATGCTACAGAATAACTCTCCATAGAGTAGACATTAATTTAGCTATATAATGGAAGAATGATAGGCTGACCTTCAAGGAAATAGGGGAAAGGTGAATTAATGGGAGGTGCACAATGTAACCAGCAGTGAAGTGTGCATGTACTGAGAAAAATAAAAGAAGTGTAAGTTTCCTGCATAGTTATATGTAACACAGAAATGAAAAACATGAGGAAGTGCAGTTCTGCTCTGGCCTTCTGTGAATGCCACACTAAGCAATTTGCTTCTTGCTATATAGGTAATATGAATAGGACATTTAGTTTAATAGTTTAGAACTGCAATAATCACAGGAATATGGAAAATGGGTTATAGTGAAAAGAATTTCAGCCAGAATGAATTCAATCTATCTAAACTAAGCTTTTGTTTTCTAAACAAAATTGGTAACGCATATTTTAAATGTGATTGCAGTTAACTTCTGTGTTGTGTTTTCCTAGTCTCCAATTCTTAGGACACTATCAACAACAACAACAAAAAAATCATGCTTTCTTAAAAAAAAATAGGGTAGAGATATAAACTTAAATGATACAGACGTGTATATTATAGGTGGACACAGAGCTAGAGCTGATAGAAGCAGAGATAGAGGTAAATGTAGACATAGAGATAGAGACAGAGATCGTGTGTTGTGATATAAAATACTGGCTCACACGATCCTATAGTCCATGTTTAACAATATGTCACCTCAGCCAGGAGTGCTAAAGAAAAGAGAAGATTGATGTCATAGCTCAAGCTGTTTCCCAGGCACAGCAACTGAACTGTTCGATTTTTCATGTCCTTCTTCTGTAATATTTCTGCCATGGAGCCATCTGATCATAGACTGAAACTGTGAAAAATTAAACATCTCTTTCATTTAGTTGTATGTGTTTGGTATTGTGTCCCAGCTAAAGGAAAGTTGACTGGTACAGCATATTAAGGGAGAACACAATGGTGAGATAAAGGAAGCAATGTTTAAGAGCTGCTCTGAAGACTGTCACTGAGATCCATAGGTATTTGAATATATGGACAAACAAAAACTCAGCCATAAAAATGCACCTGAAGGAGAGTCTATCAGATGAACTCTAGTAGTAAGAGTGTCTAGAATAAAAAGCAAGAGCTCTTGTTGATCTCTGCATAGCTTAGAACCAAGGTCTAAAGAACATATGATCTTGGAAAAAGGTCAAATCCCCCTGAGATAAGTACCTGAGTGCAGCAAGCGATTCAGGCTGATAACAGGCACCCACCATAGAATGTCCTGTCCAGTGTTCACCTGTCCTAACTTTCCACCCACTGGGAGATGAAACCAGGGAACAAGATATTCTCTAGTGGGCCTCCTTAGAATAGAGCACTAAGGAAAGTACAAGCCAGAGAAATAAAGAGAGCAGAGACTAGGTTAGGACCAGTGAGGCATAGAGACAGAAAGGAACAAAGGGCAAGTCCTGGTAAGAGACAAAAAGCAAGCATGAAGCCACCTGTGATATAGTGAGAATAAAATGACTATCAAGGACTTTTCTCCAGTGGAGAGAAGACACTGGTACAGTGTCAAAGCAGAAACCTTCCACCCTCCTTCAAATGTTGCTCAACTCTGCCTAGGCGAGCTTGCTCCTGACAACCCCCATTCATTACTGAATTCTATGCAGACAGGCTCTATTCTCTGAGCTGTAAATGCCACTGAAATCCCAGGATGGAAAGAAACTCCTTGTAAAGTCAAACAACTGGGTCTTGGGACCAATGGGGGTGCAGAAAACAACCCAGATTAACACTTTTGGAGGCTAGTTCCTGCTGACCCCCACAAACCAGACCTGAAACCTAGATTGCTTGAGTATTGCTTTGATCTGGAAGTGAAAGAGACAGAAAAAAGCTAGCAGGACACCTCACAGGGCAGGATTTACTAACTCCTCCCTGACCATTAGGAGCACTGCCATTGTTGTCCAGGGAAAAAGTGAGAACAACCAGCATATAATTGCAAATACAGATCACAAGAAGTTGAGACAGATGAAGTAGATGAGGCAAATGGCAGTCCATGGCAAAATCTCAACCACGAAATTGCTACCTACTAGGGAGGAGTCTGATGACCCAAAATGCTGAAAACACCAGCAGTTCCCAACCAGAGTGCCCTTTGAAAATTTGTCTTGGTTTGTTTTGTGCATGTGCATTGTCTTTTATCTTTCTCTAGATTTAAGTTTTTGAGTGGCAGGCATGTATTTGTGTGTGGACAGGTATGCCTGTGCACCTGTGTGCATTTCTTGACCATTATTATTTCAACAATTGGATACAATCTCCCTAATTTTCTTTGCATCTCCCATGTATAATCTCAGCCTTTCCTTTCTTCCTTATTTTCTCCATACCTTCTTTTGTGTGTGTGTGTGTGTGTGTGTGTGTGTGTGTGTATTATTGGTACATTTTAGATATACAGTACAGTTACATTCATCATCTGGTACCTTTACATGACATATCTTGGTTCTTATTTTTTTCCTCATTTTCCTAGCCTCCACTCTTACCTATTTACAAAGACTTTGCTTCCATTTTTTTTCCATTTTTCTTTTTTCTCTTCCCTTTTTACCTTTCCTATACCTCTCCCATTTGCCCAATACCTTTAGACCTTTACTTCCTATTACAAAATATCAATTATACAAAAACACGGAATGCTTCACGAATCTGCATGTCATCCTTGCTCGGAAGTCATGCTAATCTTCTCTGTATAGTTCCAATCTTAGTATATGTGCTGCCGAAGCAAGCACTCCCACATACCTTCTCAAATTTCCTCCTTCTAATGGTCATATTTTCTCTTTCTTATTTCTCTTTTTTATGGTCTCTCCTTTTGTATTTATTCTTCTTTTATACATAAATTATTAGGATTCATCTAAATACTTATCAATGAGCATCTTAATAGCTCACTTGTAGTTCCCTATCCCCTAGAGCTGCTTCATCGGATTTCTAAAATTGTTTCTTTTAATTCATAAATTGAACTCAATCTCCCTGTATCCTCTTCCATTATCTATGTAGCATCCTTCTCTGAATTTATTTCCCTCATTTTCCCTCTCACACAATCACAAGTATCCCCATATTGTCTTTTCTTGTATGTAAAAATCTTTTATAAAAACTTAAATTTTGTCTTTTTAAATTTTAGAGTGCATGTGAGGAGCAAGTCTTTATAAACAACTGTACATGAATAAACACTATTGTTTTTGTTTACACAGGGTTTAAAGTTGACCATAAGGTTTTCCCTCACCAAAGGTCTTCTAACATAAGTTCTCTGCTAGTTTAATGCCAAATGATGGCTGCATATTAACCAACTCTGGGTGTAAAAATTTAGATCTGCAGATCAAATTGTTCTGTTTCAATAGAGAACATGTCTTTATTATCACAAGGTAGGAACAATATAAAAGATCAGTAGTGATAAGGAAAGATGAACTGAAATGATGCGGGGGAGTCTAGTATAAACTGTGCAAAAAAGGCAGGCTCAAAAAGCTAATAAAACACGTAGAAATTCAAAAAGAAATCTATATACAAAATTTCAAATCCACAATGCACATTATTCACGATATCCAAAAGGTGAAAGCAATGAACCTTGAAATCATTACACTAAATTAAATAAACCAGACATAAGTGAACAACCATGGTACAACTGCACTGAATTCAAATTCCCAGAGTAGTCCAGTTCATAGAAAGAGAAGATTGTTGGTTGCCGATGACTCAGATTAGGAGGGATGAGGAGTTAATGCTTAATGGGTAAGAGTAGAGTATTTAAACAAAAGAAAAAAACCTAAAGGAATCTGCACCAAAATAATAATAATAATAATAATAATAATAATAATACAATAACCATAATAAATACTTGTCAATAATAACACTCAATATAAATGGTCTTAACTCCTCAATCAAAAGATACAGACTGGCAGACTAGATGAATTTAATTGTATATTAATTGAAAGAGACACAACACATATTCAAAGAAATACACAGTCTGGAATGAAAGGTTAGAAAACCAAACTCTATATGATGGGAGACTCCAAGCAAGCAGGAAGTGCTGTGCTATTTCAGACAAAATGTACTTCAAGCCAAAACAGATCAGAAGAATCAAAGAAACTATTACAGTATGTCCTTATTCACTTTATTCATTGGCTCTGGCTTGGAGCAACTTCTAGATTTCCCCCACAGTAAAAATGATCATAAAATATAAACATTTTGAATCAGTACAAGACATCAAGGCAGTCACAGCAGTGCAGCCAAAGACACCTTTGTAAGAGGACTTCCACAACTGTTTAAGAAAATGAGAAGGATGAGTAAGGAGGCAAGGACCCCAGAGGAGGTCTCTCCAGCTGCCTGTTCGGGCCCACCTGGCGGGTCCGCGACCCCCCTGACTGCACACTGCCAGATCCAGTAAGAAACGTAGCCGTGCAGGCACCTTTGAAACACCACCGCGACCCCCCGTCCATTCTCAAACCTCCTGATTGGGCCAGTCCTTGGACCCACTCTGCAAGAGGCATAGGTCAGCATGAAGGGTATTTTTCTGAGATCCCAACTTTGAACATCTTTAAAGAAAGGGCAGGGGAAATTTGTAATAAAACTAAGTGGAGTTCAACCCCGCGGGTTGGGAAACTCAATTTAGGCCTTGTGGACTGAGGTCAGTCTGAGTCACAGGGATCTGTCATTAGCTAGCTGAGATCAGGGGATTTGGTTCTGCACATGGCTGTACACATGGTATAATATGACAACAGAGACATAGTCTGAAAGAGGCCCTTCAAATTCTTTTTTTCTTTTTTTTTTTCTTTTCCTCATTCCACACTAAATTTTCTTTCTTTTTTCTGTCCTCTCTTTCCATCTCAGTCTCTTGCTCCAACATATTATCCCTCATCTCACTTTTTATTCCTGCTCCTGCCCTAACTCAAACTTCTTCTTTTATTATTTTTTCTTTTTTTCTTTATGTTCTTTTCTCCTGTATTTTACCTCACTCATGGCTCTGTAGCTTCAAGAGAATGCAAGCCTCTATTATTGCTAAGGGGATATATTCTTGTTCTTATTCCTACACTCTATCCCCTTTGAACTTAATAGTTTTGTAAAGATAGTATGGTCATTCTACATCATCTGGCTTCACATCAAACCTTCTCCAATTCTTTCCCATATCTACTCCTCTCATCCTAACTCAGTCTAACCCCCCATCCTAAATGATAAAGATGCTATATTGAAAAGCATATTCACTGCAAACATATTTTGGGCTGCTTCTTGATATTAATTTAATTCTCATGGTTTAAAGGTGATAGATTAATGACTACCACAAGTCGTCATTTTGCAAGCTGTGCTTGATCCTATTGGGCTGCTGAATGTATCAATTGGAATAAAGGATTGTGATTGATTTAATAAGTTGTTTTCTCTGATATTATGAAAGTGAGGATGTCTATGAGTAATTAGAGAGTCAAAAGCTAAAATGCAACTATATCAGGAAGATTTAAGTAATAACTCAGAAATTAAACTAAGGACAACCCAAGAACAAAAATAAAAATGAGAAAACACTTAAGCAAGACACACAGACAGACATCCAGTTCACCAATGGCAAACAGTAGAGCAAATGAGGATGAAAAATCTGATAGTGAACCAGCAGGACACCCTGGACCCATAGCACAGGAGGTAACAAAACAGATCAATCGGGCTCTAGAAAAATTCAAATCAGAAATAATTTCCCAGTTAACCATAGAGATGATGAGCAAAATGGAAGTCATGATTCAAGACTCTAGAACAGAAACTGACAAAAAAATAGATGAGCTCAAGACCATAATAGAAGCCATGAAAACTCAGCATAAGCAAGAAATGGAAACAATGAATGCCCAACAGAGGAAAGAAATGGAATCCATAAAACAGATTCAAACAGATATTCAGGAGATTAAAAACACTATTGAAAGTGTACAAAACAGAATAAAAGATTGGGAAGATAAAATTTCAGATATAGAATATAGGATCTCAGTCAGTGACCATGAAAAAAGAGGTTTCTCAAAAACAGTAAGGGATGATGAGATATTGATCCAACAAATTCTACACAGTGCAAAGAAAAATAATGTAAGACTGATAGGAATCCATGAAATAGCAGCAGAAAACACAAATGACTTAAAAAAGCTCTTCACAAAATTAACGACAGAAAACTTCCCAAACAGAAGGGAAGAATTAGACATACAGATAAATGAGGCATAGAGAACTCCAACTAGCCACACACACAAAAAAAATCTACACCTAGACATATAATAATCAAGATCTCAGAAATCTTACAGAAGAATGAAATATTACAAGCAGTAAGAGAAAAGAAACAAATCACATGCAAAGGAAAGCCCACTTGAATCACAGCAGACTTTTCAACAGAAACCCTTAGGTCAAGCAGAGCCTGGAGTGAGGCATTTCAAGTCCTAAAAGAAAACAACCTCCAACATAGACTGATGTATCCTGCAAAGTGCTCGTTCAAAATAGACAGGGAAATAAGATACTTCCATGACAAAGAGCACCTGAGAAACTTCATGAACACCAAACCAGCACTGCAAGGAATTCTAAACAATATCCTAGAAAAGGACAATGAAGATCACAATACCATGAGGCCCAAGAAACCAAATCAAACAGATAGGGCAAGAAACTAAAAGGAGAGGGGAGAAAAAGTAAAAAGAATCAAGGAAAGGACAATAACATGACAATAAGTCAGAACATATCAGTTATAACCATCAATGTTAATGGCCTCAATTCACTAATCAAGAGAAATAGACTGGCAGAATGAATTAAGAAGCAAAATCTAACAATATGTTGTATACAAGAAACACACCTAGTGCAAAAGGAAGCCCATAGACTGAAAGTGAAAGGATGGAAAACAATTCTCCATGTCTCAGGAGCCCAGAAAACAGCACGGTTGGCAATCTTATTCTCAGACAAAGTAAATTTTGAAACCAAAACTGATTAGGAGAGACAAAGAAGGCCACTACATCCTTGTAAAGGGAACAATTCAAGAGGAAGAGATGACAATCATTAACATATATGCACCCAATATAAATGCCCGCAACTATATAAAACAAATATTAAGTAACATGCATAATCAAATAAGCGCTAATACAATTTTAGTGGGGGATTTAAATACCCCACTATCACAAATTGACAGATCATCTAGGCAGAAAATCAACAATGAAATAATAGAACTGAATCAAGCTTTGGAACACATGGATTTAATAGATGTCTACAGAGTATTCCACCCCACAAAATCAGAATATACATTCTTTTGGGGTGCACATGGATCATTCTCCAAGATAGACCACATATTGGCTCACAGAACAGGTCTGAATAAATGCAAAAGAATTGAAGTTATCCCCTGTATATTATCAGATCATAGTGGAATCAAGCTGGAGATCAAAAGCACAAGAAACTGTAGGAAATTCACAAGCACATGGAAACTGAACAGCACTCTCCTAAATAATCAATGGATTACAGAGGAAATTAAAGAAGAAATTATGCAGTTTTTACAAATAAATGAAAATGCCAATACAACATACAGGAATCTATGGGACACAATGATAACAGTTCTACAGGGAAAATTAATAACATTGAATGTCCACACTAGGAAAACAGAGCAGACTCAAATAAACAATGTAATGATGAAATTTAGACTCCTAAAAAAACAAGAGCAAGAAAAACTCAAAGCTTGAAAAAGAGAGGAAGTTATAAAGATCCGAGAAGAAATCAATGCAATGAGAACTAAGGAAACAATACAAAAAAT